TTCGATGTGAATTTGACTAATCGATGGTACAAGCTTTTTCTCTTCATTTGCGGTCATTTCTGTACAGATTAAAATCTAAAATATAAGTGCATAACGTAGTTGCATGAGGTGAGAAGAGTACAATTCTCTATCCAACCACGTTTGAACCAAGGTTTCATCGCTTACCTTAACTAAGCTATTTCAATTTTAAAAAAAGTTTAATTTTTTAAATGTCGAGCTAACCTCAAAAACTGAAATTTTAAGTTAAACACTTGATTTTTTTTCTCAAAATGTTCGCCTTTCGACGCTGAATTCAAATATATTATTAAAAATGTTTCATGTCTTAAGACTGATTTTTAAAAATCGTTTTAAGAAGTACTAGTAGCTCAAAAAGCACGGTTTTCTAGAAAACCTTACTTCTGAGAGTCTTAGAGAAAACTTTCTAGAAAAGAAAAGAAAGAGGACGTTCAGTGATTCTCGAGATAGCCTACCAACTTTCTCGTGTAACACGTTTATTTCGTTAGTTCTGAATGAAAACGAGTGAGAGTTTCTCTGGGATTGTAGAAAAGAATATTCTGCATCTTTTTATAAGCGCAAATGTTTTTGTGAGAGGTGTTCTTCGAGTAGAAACTGATTTCCAACAAACTCCTAGCTTTCCAGCTATTTTACATGGTCGTTTCCATTTACCCCACTAACTTTAATTGCCCCAAATGGGGTAATTGGAAACATTTGAAAATTTCTCAACGTTTACCTTTTTAATTAGAGCTCAGGCTAATTAATAAGTAGAGCTTAATTAAGCAGTATTAATAAGTAGAGCTTGGAGATTCTCACCATTTGTAGAGCAATAATTGGTCTATTCACCCGTGCAAAAATCATTAATTAGTATGATTAGCTTAACGAGAAAACTGTTTTTTATTAATGAATTATTTCTCGTGTAAAATACATGGCGTAGCCAATTACCCCGTCAATTTCTATTGGTGTTTCTGATTGGCCCAAGTGGGGTAATTGGAAATGTTTGTTAGAGCTTTCAGCAAAACACCCGGAAGTTCGCTTGGGACACGGAGTTTTTTGAAAATTTTTAGATAAGTTTATAGAGAACTTTCTCGTCTACCCACCTGTAAAAAATCTCAAAAAGATAGAATTAATAAAGTTATAGTAATTAGAAGTCCAAAGAGTCAAAAATCGTTTCCAATTGCCCCAGTTTACGCTATGTGTTCATTTGTCAACAATGTCTTTTTCATTTTGTACTTGTATAACATGTTTTTTGATTTTCTTTTATGCAAAAAGAATTGTTGCAAACAACGAGAAAAAGAACTGACGACGTGAGTTACAAAAATGAAATAAAAACATGCTAATCCCTAACAAAAACAGCCTTCTGTTAGGGACACAGTAGAACATCCCCTAAAAAACTCTATTCTTGAGGACAGAATAGAGGGCTCGGGTCTGTTCTTATGTCACCCGCATTATATGATACATGAACAGTGAACGTGTTAGTATCAATGGATATTTCCATTTTCCATTGCGATTGTGAAATATTGAATCCAAAGTTCGGTAGCTAAGTTTGAATCAGAAAAAAGATAAAAGATGAATCAGTTTGGCTCATGAAACTTGGCGAAAGAAATAAAATCAATACTTTTATAATTCAAAACTTGTGTTGTATTTTTGTACTGACCTGATATTATAAGGAAAAGAAGAAACAAGAGTATAATGTATCGATCTGTGTGATGGCTGAAAAGCTTGTGAACTTTAAGTCTAACATTAGCACACCAATAGTGTACTAATGTTAGACAAGAAAAATATGTTTTATCAATGTGTGTTTTTTCTAACTTAAATGTTGTTGGCATTAGAATGGATAGCGAGAGATCAAACATACCTAGAATGCATTTTAAATGTTTTGAAACGAAGGGATTTATTGTTCTCGCATTGAAATCTCCTGTAAGAAATAATTATTTATCTTTTTTGACGTGTAATAGAAGGCATTGTAAAAGTTCATCGAAATATGTATGTACTGAATTAACCTTTCTATCTGGCGATTTGTATATGGTGAAAAAAAACCGTGAAATACATAACCATCGAAAGAAAACCGTGTAGAAGAACTATGAAGTAGAAATTTATATCATGAAATCCAAAAGTATAAAAGAAAAACTACTGAAGTAAAACCATAAAGGTTAAAGCCATAAAAACAAAACCGTCCGCCCACTTTCGAATCATGGAAGGAAAATCCTCAAATAAAACCGATAGTTTGAGAATTGTGAAAATAGTATCATGAAAAAATATCTTAAAACTCAAAACTGTAGAAATAAAATCGTGAACTGACAGAAGGAAAGCAATGAAAATAAAAACAATTGTTTAAAAATCTTTGGTTTGGACAGAGCGATGATTTTGCCATATAGGATCGGTCTCTTGTCAGTCTGGTAACCTTAAGGACGTGTCCAATCATAGGTTATGGACCATCCTGAATCTCGTGGCTAAGTCTATTCCATGATTTGAAAATATTCGTTTCATTAAAACTCAAATTCACCTTCTGTTGCTCGAGCCATATCGCAAATACAAGGTAAAAAACCACGCTCTTTAACATTAACGAAATAGAGCAAATAAACACAAAGAGATGAAAATCGTTGAACTTCAATCAGATGCTTCTGCTTATGAGTCAGACTGTACTTCGATGATATTGTTGGCACCATGAAGGAAAAATGTGTGATCAGACTAGAATTCGAACGCAGGACTTTGACATTCCGTGTCTATGCGCTAAGCACTGACCTACTTGGTCGACATCTCTGACTGTCACATTCACGTTCTTCCGAGGCTGCATCGGCTTTTTTGAATGCTTCTTCATATTTTATAGTGTAAGAGATAAAATTTGATGCCATTTTCATATCAAAAAGCTTTAGCCCACACAGCATCAGCATTCATACTGTAAGTCATATTATTATTTTCAATAAAAGTTTTCGGCTCAAGCAAGTTCGATTGGATTAAGCACACAATGTTTCACTAGCAGACATAAAGTTTCAATATTCCAAATTTGAACAAGCGGCTTTTCATCTTTCTTGAATTTCTGTTTTGGTGCGTAAGCATTAGCCAGTTCCAACAACTCCACTTTTGTATAAATATCCGAATATGGCACTTTATGATTGTCAAGCCAGTGGATCACCTGTACCTTCTTTCACGCATGCTTTGACATTTTCGTAGGCATCCGCTATTATACAAATTTCAACTTCCATTTTCAGCTCGCACAGTTTCTGCAGCGTCAAAAACCCAATTGACAAAACGAATCGACGTCATACTATGCTCTTTAGAAGTTTCCCATATGTCTACGGTAATTTCATGAATCCCGTCTTTACTGAGCATAGTGCTGATTGTCTGTCTCGATTTTAAATGGCAAGGCAACAGGATAAAATCAGGAAAGACAAAGGCTTAAAAAACGCATACTGACCTTTACCACCTCCCGTTGGAAGCCTCTCTTGACCAGTACTATCTGTCCAAATACTATGCTTCTCGTCTTCATTCTGTGACAAATTACCTTTGCCGACTAGAGTCAATGCCTTTTGGTGAATTGTTGAGAAAAGATTGAACCTCTTTCTTCACACACTACATTTATAATCACCAGCTCTACCGATGAACGTGCGGTTGTCATTTTGTTTTCGTTTTGGTTATCGCGAATAAAGAATAGAATATTATACAGAATTTAGCGATAGAATCATATGATATTTGGTTAAAAAGTTTTTGCTATCCGGTCGCAAAAACAGTATTTTCTTGCTAGTTCCTCAACTCTCATCACATGTGACCTATTGATGATTGAACCTCTCTCACTGGAGCCGCTATTGTTAGGAGACGCTGCTTAGAAAAGCTCTAAGTAAGTTCTCAGTGGACAAGAAACGGTCTGCACACATATATAAAACTGCACAAGTTCCATTTTCTTTACTTTTGTTGTATTTGGATATCTCTTTCTCTTTTCTTGTACCATCTATTAATCAATAAACAAGATTACGACAAATTTTGAAAAGAAATGGAACGAAAAAAGTGATCAGTATCGGCTTTGGTAATGAATATAACCTGTCAATGATGCTCTACACGATGACGTTTTATCCGAGCTGTTTATCTTCACACTGTATCGATGGACGAATAATTTTTTGAGCCACTGTATTTAGCAACTGTACTAGCATCACTTTTACTTACACATACGACTGAACTTAGTGACGCGTCACATACACTTGACTGCGTTTCACGTTGTAAAGTATAATCCCCATGAGCAGGTAATAATATCGCACTATGTAATCCTAATAACGATGCCAATGTGGTTTTGGTGTTTTGCTATATCATCCGTATCTTTAATACTGCTTAATTCTTTTCTCAACCAGTTCTGCCACGGTATACGCAGAGTATATATAAGTTACTATAAGCTACACCGAAGAAATAAAGAATCAGATGCATGACGTGATCGCCAGTCTGTTCAGGTCTTTTACCCTCCGTACGCTTTTCTCGCACACGAAATCAATTGCGACTTTAACAACCGCCCCCATTCTTGAAGAAGAGAAATAATAGTCGTTAGATACTGTTTCCGAAATGAAGCAATGCTTCAAAGAATAAAAGTACTCACGTGAAACTGACACTGAGTGACTTCTGTCTATATCGTAGTTAGTCATTGTGTAAACGAACACATTCTCGCTACCTGTGTATTTTATCACTCACGCTTCTAATGAAAAGAAAGAAACAGATAATTTTCGGTGCGCGATGTTAAGATCATTGTTTCTGTTACTTGTTATCATCGTTGATATAAGATCTAATGAGTATTGCAACGGAAATTGTTCATGCTCATCCGATACTGAATGCAAATACTATTGTAAACAAGGTAAATGTCAGAAATACATTGATATTAGTGAAAAGTGCTTGGGACATGAATTTCATTCACATGAGTGCGCTGAAGACCACTGGTGCGATGTTGATCGAGATTACACATGCCAAATGAAAAAATCATCCGGTACGAGTTGTGTAAGTGATTTTTCTTGTTTATCCAGTTACTGTAACTGGGAGACCCATTCTTGTGGAAAGGGATGGCGACATCAAACAATAGCCACTAAAACTGACTTAGAAATTTCACATGGTGGAACGGTTGGTATAATATCCGCCGTTGTGGGCGTACTTATAATTATTTCCTGCTGTGCGTGTGTCAAAAGCTTCTCAAAAGAATATCATAGACGATCCCAGCAACTACCACCAGTAGTTCATTATGACGGAAACAGGCAAGTTGTTTCTATAGACACAGTTACAAATCCGTGTTATAATATGCCCACATATACTAACGTTGTTGAAGCACTTCCACCCCGCTACTACTCGGATCCTCCACCGCCGTACAGTGCTTTGCCGATTAATGATTAATTAATTCATAAAAAACGTTTTTTCAGCTTTTTTTGTAAGTATATAATCTAATGTATTATAAAACTGTTCTTCATCGATAAAATAAATGTGCTGACTAATAGATCGAGTAATTCCTGATTGATAGATTTAGCAACAGCGCATATATTGGTGCACTTGTTACCTGTCAGTCGACTCTTTCGCTAACTGAATATTATCTGCCTTGTCAACTTCTCACCGTGAGCAAACAGAACTGTTATCAGATGACTCACCCTCACTTCTTGTGTCTCTCAGCGTCGCTCTCATCGACAGATTCTATGGAAGCTTTCTGAAATTTCAAATAGAATCTACTTTGCAGAAGTGCCATATCGTGAAAGAGTTGTATCATACTCCTCATATGATCGTTCATCGCTTCTAAACCGTACGATAATTCAGAATAGTCAACAAATACATGCCGCATTAAGAAATTAGAAAGCCTATGCTATCCAATGAGAATTTTAAATTATTCAGTTGTTCTCATCCTACAACAATAAACAAATTCATATAACGGTAGAGGCTTTGTCAGAAAATCGAGCCTTACAATCCGACTGTAGACTGATGATCAGTCTTTTGTGGAACTGAATCCAATCAAGAGAGCGCACGAAACTGTATAAACCAATTTTGCTCACGAGGGAACCTCTCGAGGTGATAAAACGCTTTTTGCTCGGAATCTAGTGGATTATAGATTATCGACCATGCTGATACGAATATGACTATGGGAGTGGCCCTTAGCGCTTCAAAGATCCGAGTTTCTGGAAAACCAGTTTTTCAGAAACTCTACCATATAACCAGAACTTTTCTTAATGAGACATGACTGTAGCCCGTAAATTTCTGATTAAAATGAGACACTACCCAGCTTTACACAACCTTTCTTTGCAAAGTTATAGAGTTTACAAGGAAAGCCCTAGATTAATTTTTTCCTTCTTATTTCTGTAGCTTTGACCTAACAATGAATACTTAGGGCTTTTCTTATAAATTCTATAACTTTGCAAAGAAAGGTCATGTAAAGCTGAGAGATGCCTCATTTTAATCAGTCCAAAAAAAATAGTTTTTTAAAAACATCAGCAACGGTAGTATATTAGATAATGGGGCGTCAGTTTCGTTTGAAGTTCTGGTGGCATGAAGTTTTCATTACAAAAAAAGAATCGAAATTATCAAAGAAGTCATGTCAATCCAACTTTTAAGCATGAAAGTGACATTGGAACGTTACTCATTAAATGCTTATGATATATACTAGAAATGGTGCACTGACGTTTAAACGTCGATGGTAGGAATTAATTTATCCTTTATAATTTAAACGAACTTCAAAAGAGCATACTTTTAAAACCGTTCTAGTGTTTCAGACTATAAACATAATGGGTTATGCATAAGTTTTGCAACAAATGTCGAGCGCTGTTTCTCTATGCTCCTATTGTTCTAGAGACTTTGCTTCCTTTTTGTTTGAAAGAGCAAAGTCTAAACTACAAAAAGTGTATCAAATGAAATTTTCTCTCACCAAACTTCTTTGAGAAACAATTCAAAAACGATACAACACTAAAAATAGTCTGGTTAAATTTTATTAAAGCATATCAAGAAAAGTTTTTCTATAATATAGATCCCTTTTCTGGTCCCTTTATGATCTTTTTATGATAGCTTATGATTCCTTTATGATTCCTCATTCGAAAACAGCCTCAAGCATCTACTTTCAGAATCTGTATCGCTTCAGGTTACAGAAATGATTTTTCGCGGCTTTCGAGCAAGTTTTCTGGGAGCCTTGGGAAACCGGATCTTCAAGTGATAGTTTTTTACTTCGAACTTATGCACTTAAATTTCTTTCTGAACGGGTAGATTTGTAGAGTAAGCTTTCCTAATCGAAATAACACCTCGTACAACTAATTATGGTCTTGCGTCAAAAAGTTCCAATCATTTTCTTAAAACTCCTAAAATTGAGTATTTTAAACAGTTATAAAGTCGAAACAAATATTCCATACACTAGTAGTAATGAAGAGAAAAAATATGTACCAAAAACATCTCATACACGTTTACATCCAACTGGCGTGAACATCGCACACCACGTTTAATGCACACAAAGAAACCGGAAAACTTCAACAAAAAAACAAAATCACGCTTCTTCCGAAGCTTACCAGAAAACGACTCTTCCATCCTCTTGCACCGATCCTTCCAGCTCTTCACCTCGTCTCTCGGATATTCGGTTGTTTCTAAGATCAAGTTGAGTGAGAGTCTTCTTTACTTTCAGTGCTCCTGCTATTGCTTGGCCTCCTCTCTCGGATATTTCGAGGCTAAGATATAGTTGAGTGAGAGTGTTGAAAACAAAAAAAAAAATCACGCTGCTTCTGAAGCTTACTAGAGAATGAGTATGCCATCTTCTTGCAACGATTCTGGCAGCGCTTCACCTCCTCGGTCGAATATCCGAGAGAGGAGGTGAAGTGCTGGGAGCATCGCTGCAAGAAGATGGAATACTCGCCTCAAGCTTACTATAGAGCTTTTGTTTTTTTCTTGAAGTTTTTCTGTTTCTTTGTGTGAAGTGAAAGTAAACAACACTCTCAGTCAAGTTAATCCTGGATGCAACCAGATATCCAGTAGAAGAGGTTAAGCGCCTGCAGAAGCAGTGAAAGTGAACAACCCTCTCACTGAACTTAATCTTATCATGAACCAAATATCTAATATAGGAGATGAAGCACTACCAGAAGCTCTAAACGTAAACAAGACTCTCACGC